CGAGTAGCAAATTGGTACGGAAACTTTAAAAAGGAGCAAATCCACCTTCAACCTTCCATTATAGTAGCAAAGTCACTCCTCAATTATGGAAAGCTTCCAAACCTCCATTATTTTGTCATGTAAACCTCATATGCCCAACTTTATGAAGGCCAGTGTTCAGAAATTTGAAGAAAAGCATATTTTCACGAGGGCCACGTGACGTTTAACAGAGATTTGGATGCTTTGCCCCGAGGACTGATTGTACAGCTATAATTGAAGTTCAAGGGCCTACCTGCTCCCTTTCAAAGGTTGGAGACCAAGCTACTAGAGAAATTGGTTCAAGATCCTTCTGCAATTTTTCCACTAGAAATTTATGCACAAAATATGAAGTCCACACGTGAATGGCAGCTCGAACATCGATTCGAAAATCATTTTGGGAACTTTGACTAAAATCATTTCCATCTGTCACATGCGTCACTAGGTAGTCTTTTTCCTGTAATTTCTGACGAAGTAGATTTCTTGCATTATTCAAGTGCTCCTGAAATATCCTCATATCAGCAATAGGCACATTCGTAATCAAATTCTTATCTGTTACAGTTTTCATTCGGTACAATATTCTGCCTAAAATGGTTGTAGACTCTTTTTCTATCAAAAAGCTCAATAAGTAGTTGATTCTATGCATCTGAGCAGCCGTCATATGTGGTTCTAACATGGGTTTGAGTGACCATGCAACTTCCAACAAAAACTCGTAGAATTCTGTCTGTCTCAAGGCATAAACTTGACATGCCAATGTTGGAGCTGCAAACTGGTGTCCATCAGAGCAAAGAGATGAATCATACTTTTGTTGCATAATTGCCATTTCAGCACAAATTTCTTTGTCACCAATAAGAATTGGAATGAAGTTGGATAAGCCAGATTGATTCTCAACCTACAAAAGAGACCTCAATATAGGTGAAAAAAAAAAAGTCCGACCATAACAAGTACCATAATTAGCATGATTCTTGCAACAGCTCTTATATCAAATTTATGTACGAGAATTCCTAATATTTCTGAGTGAACAATATCTTCACCATCAGTTTCCCTCTATGAAGATATTCTTGATATCAATAAGGGCTATTTTTGTTATAAAACTAAGAAAGGGACAGCAAAATTGAGCTCCACATCATAGTTGACAAACCATGTGCTTCTCAAAAGTATTTTCAATCTTCAATCAGGGAAACACCTTAACACATTGCAAGCCCAAGAAATACTATGTACTACAATTTTTTTGTTAAGTAAACCAAGATGCATAATTTCTGGACGAAATGATGCGACTCAAAATCAATTATTGCATATTCAGGTCCCAGTGTCAGATTAGTGTATGCATCCAAATGTCAAAATTGCTAAAGCAAAGAAGTCACATTTTTAACAAATGCTTGTCCTAGTACATAAGTGAACCATACCAATACCACTTCATTGCACAAGAAAAAAAGAAGTGGGTAGAAGATAGTTCTCACCTCAATAAACGCTGGGCCAAAAATATCTGGGTCAGTTTGAGGGACATGTATCTTCAATAATTGATGATCTAAACTACTCCTGTCCCCTTCACTCTTGCAAGCAACCGATGAAACACTAATATCATACGCAAGGTATCGGCCAGCAAAGGATACAAGAAACCTGAAATGAGGACGAAAAATTTACATAATACACACCAGGAAGAAGATTGAGCTACATGCTTATTCTAAGCAACGTAAATAAAACAATAAGGATTAAGGAAAACTGTACATTGTTAAATTTGTTTTTCCAACACAAAGTACAAAACATGATAAACAATAATCTCCTTTCAATCTGCCGCTTAAAGAAATGGTATCTCAAAACATAGCACAAGACTGAAAGGCCTCACTCTGAACCCTTGAACAATCACATATCCCTTTTTTTTTTTTTGTACTTAGGTCCATCTACGCCATCTTTTTTATCATTTCTCAAAACTCAAGCCCAATACAGTATATCTAGGATAGCTTGTCCCTTCAGTGATTTCAACCTCTGATCCATATAACATATAATGCATGCATCGCTATTGCAAAGGCCCAAATATCACATCTTTTCCACATATTAATCCACTTTCCTCTTTGTTTTTTATTTTTGGTTAGAATGCAAAAAGTAGCATGGTGTATCTTTTTCCTCCAACAAAATTATTCTAAAACTGCCTCAGCAATCACATAAAACAACCTCCCACTTACTAGTAGAGTGAACCCATCGACGCCACCTCCCCCGATCCTTTTCCCCCCTTTCCCTTTTACTCTCTATCTCTTCCTCCACCTCTTGCTCTCCTCTCCCTTCTACTTCAAGGTCATGAATTTAACAAGAATCTTCAGTAGCATAGAAAAGAGAATTAACAGTGAGAAGTTAAAGAACTTCAAGTCAAAAATATTCTGGCCACTCAGAATTAATAAAGAAATATCGCATAGTTGACAAAAATTTCAGAAAGAAACTTTGTCAGAGTTTTTGAATTGGTAAAGGCAGTAAGAATTACCGTACCGAAAGTTTGGTTGAAGTAGATTACTTCCACAGGCAACAAACTCTAAAGGCTTGCCAGCCTCAAAGCATGTTGGATGAATATAATGTATCTTTGGAGCTTGTCCCTTGACCTTGACTTTCACCACAGAAGCTCCATCTGTTTTCACATAGAATTTAACAGTGTTAAAAAGCTGACACAATTTGACCCTATTAACAACAAAGAGAGAATATTCAATAGCAATAAACTGTGAACATGTTCCTCCCAACTTACCACCATAAAAAATAACAACTGAAAATATTGACGTACTTTCTACATCTCCTTTATTATTATTATTATTTTTTTTTTTTTTTGAGAGAAATTTACATCAGTTTGTCCTAATTTATTCTCAGGCCAAACCACTTCTTCTTTTACCTTCAATATAGTATCAGAAAATATTCCTTATTATTCCTTCTTCATTACCAAACTAACCAATTATTAACTTTTGCACAAGATGATTATAGGTTGTGAAGTCTTTATGTCAGCAATAGTCAGTGAAGAAAGTATTAAATCTTCCTTAATTGATTGTTGTATTATTCCATAAGCAATCAAAGGCTTGTGCATTGAAGTGTGGCTATGACCATCAACATACAAACAGAAGAAACTACTGCTCATTCGCTAAAATAATATTACATTCTTGAAAAAAAAAAAAAAAAAAAAAAAAAAAAAAAAAAAAAAAAAAAAAAAAAAAAAGAAAAGAAACAAGTCAACTAACAAAAGAACCAGCAGTACATTAAAGTAACACAAAGTAGTCCTCCTAAGAATATACCCCTAAAAGAAGAAGAAAAATAAAAATGTGATGGAAATTTGAAACTCTGACGACATAGACCTATGCATATCTATAATGCTATATATGTAAGATTGCCAGCTAACCTTTTGTGACACGAAATATCATGTCATTAAGATAAACAAGCATTGTGCCTCTTCCAGATAGCATGTTTCCAGGTGAGAAAACAAGGTCTTGTATACGTACGGCAGACTCTTCCAATAACTGCATAATTCAATGATATCATACAATAAAACCGAAAGGAAGAAATTATGCCGGAGCCTGCAGCAAAAATTTTAAATCTGCCTCATACATGAAATATGTCACATGCATAACAAAATGTATATTATAGCAATTGTAATGGAAGGATTCAATTAATTTCAAGTCAACCTTCTGCTCTAACGAGCCTACAGTTAAATATGTAAAATGGTCATTTAGATATTAAACTTCCTCGACGATGAGTTTACTACAATAGCAACAGAGCAACCAGAGCCTAAAAAAATGCCTTTTGACTATTTTTGTTATTGATCAGCAAAGTCTTAGCACAATTTTGCAAATTTCCAAATGCAATAAATTATGAGGTTCAACAGATATCAGCAGACAAGGAAGATCTAAAATACCTTAACCCACATAAACTTTGGCATTGCAACAAAAGCTGTCAAAATTGTACAACCCGGTCGGATATACCCTTCCAATTCAACGGGCATGCTAGCCAACCATTCAAATATCTGTAAAAAAATCACCTCATGTTAATCCGATATTACTATCTTTTACATAAATAAAATGTTCTCTTCCTTGTATACTAAACTGTATAAAAATCTTTTAAATACTTGATGCCGAAGTCGCCGAGGAAACTCTGCAGGGTTCCAATCGTAGAGCTTGAAGGAGATTCGACCAGTAGGACACTGCAACAAAGCATCAAAACAGTGCAATTTTATTTTTTTTAAGTCGGCTTCCCAATGAAATAGAATCACACCATGTGAGACAGCGAATTGGCGTTAAACCCACCAAAGAGGAGAAAGCACTCTTATTTTCACGATAGGATGTGGAGTTCGTGTATTTTTGGTTCTCTTTATCCTCATCATTGTGAGTTTCAACAGAACCTGCAGATAATGCATGCCCTTCTGATTCCAACAAAAATTCCCTTTCTGGTATTTGACTGCTTAAGTGCATCATATCTGTGACATTAAGATTTTTTTAATGGTGGTCAGCTACTTCAATATTGTAAAACATTGCAATCATGAAGTAAAAAACAAAGCAATTCAATGATGAATAGCAAGAAAGTCCTGGTTGATCGCAGCTTTAAGTAGAGGTATTCTCAATGGACTCCACAAGTACCAAGCATATATAAAATATTCCACTATTGCTGACATATATACGCAAAGGTGATACAAGAGAGATAACCGTACACATTTTCGCAGAATGTTGATACCAGTCAACGATACCTTTCCCAGTGTCATTGTCACCGCTGACATTATCAGTTAAGGTGCCCTGTTGAGGTTCCATCTCAAAACTGCCTTTAGTATCGTTAGGTTTTCTTCGGCGTCTGTTGTGACGTTCTAATTTTCTCCGGCAACTCCGTTTACCCTCGTCAAAATCTGACAAAATATGAAACCTGCCAAAGGTAATGGAGACAAAAGCAGATAAGAATTAATCAGGAGATTTTGTTGAAGAAATGCACCCACAGCGCACTTCAAATGTGAAGAAAAATAGCTTCAGCGCCACTTATCCCCAGGAAAATCTACACGATTCTTTTTTCCTGAATTCAATGGATGAGGCCTACTTAGAGCTGTGCTTTATTGCCATCAAAAGTTAATTTTGATAAATACTAGGAGGAACCATCATTCTAACAAATTTATAAGATTCCAAAGATATTCCCAAGAAACTGAAATAGCCTCAACCAAATCTTATTTTCACGATTATTCTTTCCAATCTTCAGTGGCTACATTTAGCATCCATATCGACTGAACTTATAATAGTGGCCATTACAAACATCTGTGTAGTGGTCCCTGAGCATTCATACAGAACCATTTTCAACAGATTTCTGCATCAAGAACACTACAAATCTTTAACATGACCCCAAAAGTCCATAATACAGATCATTATCAGCAACAACATAAAACTCTATCTCAACCCACCAAGATCATATCTTTAGTTGCTCCCGTGCTTGTATGAATATGCACACATTTAAACCAGCCAGCTAGAGACGGAGGAATTCATTTTCACATTAATTTTATAGCCCCTGTTTGGCCCCCATTTTTGGTAATGAAAATGGGGGGAATAGTGTTTTGTTGAAAAAATGAGTGGTTGAAAAAGAAGGAAAAATTTTCGATTTACGTGTAATATTATTTTATGGAAGATTTTGTGGTTGAAAATAGGATAGAGAAAAATGGAATGTAATGTGATTGAATTTAATGGGGGCCAAAGGGGGGCATAGTCTTGTTTAACTCGAGACAGTCAACAGTTACAGATCAAAACCTACCATCCAATTTGCAACTCTTGATATATATCTTTCATTTGTCTTACATTATCTTCCACACGTGCAACAAGAAAAAACAAACTATGCCTATTCAGCTATTTTCAATAGATTTGAAGTCAGCTGACTGGATGATTTTTAGCCATAAATTGGATTGTGGGTTTTGATAGTGTAAAAGATCTTTTACACATGCAGGTACTAAAATAAGCTCACTAAAATTTCATGGCACATTAATAAATCTCTTCTAGTCTTTAATTATGCAGCTGAAGACTGTTTATTAACCCACAATATAATTTGAAAAAGTCACACATCACTACCCTACATTTTTACTACCATTATTATACAACCATGCTAAACCACAAACTCATATACTTAATCATCTATACTCCGCCATGGCTACACAAACTTTTCCTAAATTGCATTAATCATAAGGAGCTCACAAACTTCGTCTCATTCATAAAACTTGTTTTGCTATCAATTCCACATGTAAAAGGATTGTGCAATTAGATAAAAATAACAGAGCCAGAATCCTAACTCCCAGAAAAAAGAAATACATGAGTGCCTAGCATTTACATGATGCAATCCCATTAAATCTCGGAATTGAATCTTTGATTGACGAACATTGATTAATATGAGCTATCTATAATTGATGCTCCTTATAAATAAAGCTTATTTCTTTATCAAAACCAATAACCAAAACACCATGCATACATCAAGTACGCATTGAAAAACCAAAATCCAACATAAATCCATATCGAAATCATATAAGAACAATCCATTGACCATAAATGAGCTTACTTTCCACACTGCTGGCAATATCTCTTGCTCTCCCCGTCAAGAATCACCGAGCTTGCATTCGCACATCGCAAGCAAATTCTGTGCCTCTTATGATACCCTTTGAGCTCACTAATATCCGCTTCGCATTCAGGCACCTGACAACGAGCTGGAGCGCCACCACCCGAAACTCTCAGAGTCCGGACCCGCTTCTTCCCTGAGCGAACCCCGCCCATCTCATCTTCCTCCTCCAACTTCTCATCCAGCTCCGGGCACGCGCAGGGGATCCGACCCGCCAAAAAGTTCGGACAAACCAATGTCGGGTCCCTCTTCCTGACCCGACCCGGAATAACAGTCTCTTGACTTTGACCCTCATCTACTCCGGTTTCAATTCCCGATTCTGGGATCATTTGATGTGGGTTAATGGGATCAAAGGACAGATTTATACTATCATCAAGCTCGAATTCGAGAAAATCGGACCAGTCGAAAAGAGAAGAGGAAGTGGGCTCGTCAGGGAAATTATGGGTAATGGTGGAGGGCATTTCGGGGTTGTTCACCAGGTCAGTTGCAAACGAAGTTTGTGGGTTGTCACGCATTTCTTTTGTATTGAGTTTTCGGGGAAACGGAAGCGTCTTGAAGATTGAGAGTTAACTGGGGCTCTGGCGGCTTGAGGTGGTCAAGATGGTGGTAGTAGGTGGCGGCATTACGTGGTTGAAGGACGACGGGATATTCTTGTTTGACAAAAATGGTTCATGGAGCATCACATTCTGCTGAATTTGTCTCTTTATTTTTTCACTTTTCCTCTAGTCCAAATCTTTAGAAGGTAATAGATAATGTTGAAATGTCAAATTTTTCAAATGAATGATCATTTTGCAATAGTGTAAAATAACTCCATTCAGTTTATATTTATAATTAAACTAATCAATTTTTTTTTCCCCTTAAAATTCACAACTTATAAACACTCAAAACACTATTGAATATTAAAGCAAGAGGCAAGGGTGATAAATAGATTGAGTCGATTGCAATTTCAACTCGTTTCAACTTGACTTATGGGTTGTTGAGGACTTCTGAAAAGTACTTTTGGAACACTAGGCATTAATTGAAAGAAAAAGAATTAAGTACTATATTTTACTTTAACATGGAAACGTAACAATACGAGTTATGGCCTTGAGCTAAGTTAATTTTTTCCGAGTCAATTTATCTTGAGCTTGTAGGTCAACTCATTTTTTGCTTATAACTAATTTCTTTAAAAAATATGAGTGGACTCGTGAACTCATGGGCTGGCTAATGTCCACACGAATCAAAAAGACCGAGCCGAACCTTATTTGTATACATGAGCCGAGCTCGGGTATGTAAGAGTCCAAGATGAAGGAACAATGAAAAGAAATCTCTTTTGTGGCTCGAATTATCTTTAGTCTCTCGTCATAATGTCTTGCATACACACAAAACTGAAAATTATGGAGGTCAAGGCCTAGATGATGTGGAAAAAGTAAGTTTTGTGAAGTCATAGACCAGTTTGAGCTTTATAGTGTGGACACTTTAAAAAGTTACCCTCTCTATTTGTTATTTTCTAGTTGGGCTTTCATCAATTTCCCCAATTCTTTCTGGTGTCAAATTTTAATAATTATGTCATTTTTTTCTGCTCGTGTTGATAAAATTTATGGTGTAATTAATTTATTTTTTTAACCTGACTAGACTCTATATTTAAAAATTAAAAAATTTTGGAACTTGATTATGGTGGATAAATTCACTTTTCTTGAAACTGATTTAAAATTTAAACAATAAGCCTATGTTTTCAAATGTTGTTGGGCAGTTGCACCAAACTGTGACACACTCACGAAGCAGTTGATTGCGTGTAGTTTTGTTAAAATGCGACCTCTCAAATGTACGAAAGGGAAAGGAGATGCCCACCCGATTCTTTAGTTGGTGAAGCTGAAGCATCAAACATTTGGAAGGATTTGTGTACTAATTTTTGTCGCCGTTGTTGATGCCCGCGGCGTTGTCAAAAAATTATTGGATGCAAAAAAGTGGGTTTTTTTTTCTTGACATTTACCTCGTCCAATCTCATCACTTGCATTTCTTGTTTCATTTTTTTGACTTCTTTCAATTATGTTTTGATTTCAAAAAAATGAAAAACTTCCTTTTGTTTATATTGAAAGGTTTGCATTAAAGAATGTAATGGCGTTTATTTGAAAAATGGAAAGGATTGAATCCGTTGCCACGTATTCAACTTTGGCAATTATTATTTCGTCTTCTTAAATCCAACTTGGTGAGTCGAATTATCTTTCGATTTCACACATATAAACGATACATTCTGTGAATATGATGTATGCATGTTTATTGGTGTAATATCCCCTACACAACCTACTATAAGTGGGACTTGGGAGAGTAGATGCATGAATACATGGTAAATGTAGTTTTTAGAACATCTTTAATTGTGGTGTAAAATATATCTAACTTCTAATTTAAATATCTAAAATGGTGGGAAATCTCTTCAATGGAGAAACGCAAAGGAAATATAAATTGCATTTTTCTGGCAGTTTGCATCTTTTTTTTTTCCATCCACAAGAAGTAAAAAATGAATTTAGATATTCTCATTGGAGCAAAATTTGAATTTAAATTCATCGAAGTGTGAATGAGGATACAGAAGTAGTTTTGAAGTTATCAATTTACACTACCATTGAAGACACTATTATTAGGAAAATTTTGATAACTAAAAAAGTTTTGGTATATCTTTGTTTCTGGTATCACGGTAGAAAGTTTTAGAACTAAAGTTTTCTTGATTTTGTTTTAGAACTAGCAGAAATCGAACGGGGTATTTTAAGATTAACCAAGTCAAATAACCACTTTGTCATATTGACCAATTCATTTTTCACATTCACCACAATGACCCTTTGAAATGTAAATGACAATTTTGCCATTTTTTATGTTTTGTATTTGCAAAAATATATGATTGTTAAAAAGATAATAGTACCTCTTGGTAAATAACAAATAAATTACAAACACTCCCATGTAAATTTCAAAACCAAATCAGTTTCTGCAACACACAGATAAAAAAAAGTTCAATTTTCATCTGCTTCAACATTGGGATCTTACAAAATTATCAAAAGTTCAACAAGAAAATATTATTCACAACCAGCACTCGAAATTGGTATGTATATTTTACATATTTTTAATTTTATTATAGCTAAATCAATATATTGTTTGAATCTCTAAATCTTATTTCGACATAGACAAATAAATTTTTACAATCTTAAATGGATTTATATTTTTTTAAGAAAGAACGATGAAAAAATTCATTTGAAAAATCGAAAGACGAAATCGACACCGACTGTTATAAAAATAGCTGGTTGTTGTCTAACAGCCAACTGCTTTCAATTTTTTACTTCTTTTTTCATGAATTAACAATTTTTTTTAATAAATCTTCGTTTTCTAATGCAGATATGGCATCGGCTACAGTCCCGGTTTGTTTCTTTAGTGAATTTGAAATGAAGAAAAATGATCGATTGGTGTAGAAATGGACGAGTGAAATACGCGGTTCTATTACAATTTTGATAACATCAAGTACATCGTATGCGAAAATGTACAATGAGTTATAGAACTTGCTCAACGTCAATCTCTCTCGATTCAACATGGAATTGAGATTTCTATTCGACAAGAAAATTCCACATGTAAAAGTTACTTCTGAAGCTGAAATGCAGATTTTAATTGAATTAGACTAGAAACATTCGATTCCTATTTGTATAACTTTGGTGGAGAAGAACTTTCCCGAAGATGAGCATGAAGATTTCGATGGAGGAGATCATAATGTAAATGATTTTTAGGATACAGTGGAGATAGCTAATGAGGACAATGTGGTTATTCCCAATACAGTTGTTCTCGATATAGTGAATGATCTCACTGTTACGCACAAAATTCTCTCGACAGTTGAAGACAACGAGAATGAAAATACATTCACAACTGAGGATTTGAATGCTCTATCCCTCTGAAGAAGTGAGTCGGGTGAGAGCTCACAAGTTGGATCGAGTACACGGTCCACTAATTGTTCACGGTTAATTCCCGATGATGAAAATTTATATGTCGACCAACTGTTCGAAACAAAGAAAGATTTGCAGGAAGTTGTGCACAGGATTGCTTTGAAACACAACTTCGAGTTTAAAGTGTCGACATACACAATCATCTGCATTGATGAAAATTGTCACAGGCGTTTGCGAGCGACGAAGATGGACACAAACGAGTTCTTTGTAATTCGAAAGTACACACGAGAACATACTTGCGAAATGGGTATTCGTCGAAATGATCACAGGCAAACTCGAGCATGATTCATTGGTCGATAAATAATACACAAGTTTCAGGACCCATGAATGATCTACAGACCTTGGTCATGAACTATCAGAAGGTTTGGAATGCCAAAGAATGCACATTGGAGAACTTAATGGGTTCGGTTGAGGAGAGTTATGCTAAATTGGTTAGATACTTTATTGTTCAGTTGATTTTTTAATATTTATTTTAATGGTTAATTATATATTTCAATTATTTTTTTGTTTATTTAATATTTGATTACTTATTCTGATTATTGTTTATTTATATTTGCTAGGTATTGCTATAACATGGGGAAAACTAATACTGGATCGACTTTTTTTATTGAGAGGAACGACGAGAATCGCTTCAAGTATTTCTTTATGGCCCTTGAACAATGCGTTCGAGGATTTCGAAACGTGATGCGACCTCTAATTCTAGTCGACAGTACAACCTTTAAGGCTAGATACGAGCGCAAGTTGATTATTGCAATATGTCAAGATACCAACATCCAAATTTACCGTCTTACATTCAGCATAGTTGATGGAGAGAATAATCGAGCGTTGCATTGGTTCTTCACAAAGTTGAAGAAAGTAATTGGGGACATCAAAAACCTTGCATTCATAATCGATCGAGGGCAGTCAATAATAAACGGTATCGTCAAAGTCTTCCTCGAGGCACATCATGATTATTATATGTACCATATACAAGGAAACTTGAAGAGCAAGTATCGTGGTAAGGGCATCATTGTGTTGTTCAGGAGAGCTGCAAAGACTTATAGGTTTGAAGAGTTTAAGAAGTTCATGGTCGAAATAGACAATAAATCACATGCTGCATGGGAGTATCTAACAGGCATAAGGATCGAACATTGGGCAAAATCACATTTTTGAAGAGGTCGATACAACATAATGACGTCGAACAATGCGGAGTTGCTCAATATCTTATTCAAGAAGAATCGAGAATTACCAATTCTCGCAATAATTGAGAACATTCGTGATAAGCTTAACAGTGGTTTAATAATCGACGTGAAAAATCACAAAGTTGCACAAGTGTGCTTACCCTGGCTCGTGAAGATAAACTCTTCAAGACGCTAGATGTGGCGAGAAAGGTATTCATAGAACCACTAGATCAATTTCGCTTCTCCGTGAGATATGTACGTAATTTCGGATACATTGTGGACTTGAATGGTAGCACGTGCATGTGTAGACAATTTCAATTGGAGAGCTTTCCATGTGCACATGCAGTAGCAGTAGCTATGTATAGAGGATTCCCACCACATACCTTATGCAGTGTTTATTATACGACTGATTATTGGACAGCATCGTATGCCGAAATAATATTCCCTATACCAAACGAAATCGAGTGGGAAGTTCCCGACCACATTCTGTCACTAAATAATTTGTTGCCACCAGAAGTCGGACCACGTACCCCTGGAAGTAGACGTACGTCTATAATACCGTCTACTGCAGAATTTTTCCGACCTCGTAAGTGCGGTACGTGTAGCGCAACCAAGCATATACGATAATTTTGTACGAGCCAGATTCCGCTGCATAACGATGCAACAGATGTGTAATACAATTTATTTATATAATATTTATTTTTAGTTGGTTATGAATGATAATTGTGTAATTAATATTCACCATGTATGAAACTAATTATTTCTAATTTATTTAATCAATTATTATTTACTTAAATAAATAATATTCATATATTATTAATATCATAGATGAAGTATTTAAATACAGAAAATAATATACAATTACATTCATTCACAAGGTACAAATCAATATTCACAATGTTTACAAATATTTCGTAATTAAAAAAAATCAAATATTTACAGTATTTACGGATCACAACTAAAGTCGTACAAATCACACACTAACTTATTTCTCCAAATTTGCATCGAGGATTGATCTAATGACGAGGTGTATGATGTCCTCGAAACATCTTTGACCCCACGGATAGTTATTGAAGCGATCGATGTCGTCGACGATTTCCAAGTGAAAAAGGTTGATCGTAGTCTTCTTGTGGTAATACCATATCATGGTCTCAAGGATGTATACTAGACCTAACTTTAGTCTATCTAACATATGGTCACACCCCCTCATCGCTTCCATCAGCCGATGTACAAGTATTGCTTACTTTCCATGAAAGTAAGTGTCATATAGCCTATTGCCTCTCTGAGTACTGTCATGAGCTACCTCATCGCCCGTAATCTTCAGTCCAGAGATCAGGGCAAACTCAAACATAGAGAAACTGACGATCTTGCCCCCAAGGTTGAAGTGGAGGGCATCGCAATCAATTGGACTCAACAAAACAGTGCGTCGATGATCTGTCCCGAGTACTGCACCTCCATCAATTGATTCAGGGGCCAGAGGAAAGAGTGGCGTGAGATATCAACATGCTGATCATCCAGTAACTCCAGGACTGTAGCAAAACTGTCGAAGCTACTGTTCCATGTAGTTTTACCAGGGATCTGCCTCAACTCTACGTGTAGATGGTAATCCATCCTGCAAAAAATCGAATATTAGAATTTTGTACAATGGAGAATGGAATAAAACATAGTAATGGAACATTAATCGAACCAAAATGCTAACACGTAGATTCATCTAATTAACATGTAGATTATCAATTTACAAATCTTAATTACATTGCATATATTAAAAATCTAAAGAAAATCAAATTACAAAAATTAAATAATGGATATAAATATTATTCAATTAAAAATGAAAAAATTGAAGAATTCTTTAATTTTGGTAAAATAAAAAAATATTGTGCTAATTTGGTTAAAAGGAATATTTAATTTTGATAACTACCAATTAAAATTACATATAAACTTTAGAGAATGAAATTATAAATATTAGATAAAGAATACATAAATATTATTCAATTAAAATTGAAAAAAATGAAGATTTATTTAATTTTGGTAATTTAATAAAACGAATATTTAATTTCGGTAAAAAAATTAAGAGGAAAAAATTATTTTGCTAATTTGGTTAAAAGGAACATTTAATTTTGGTAATTATCAATTTAAAATTCTTAATTAGATTATATATTAAAAAAAATAAAGAAAAATTAATTTATAAAAATTAGATAAAGAATACATAAATATTATTCAATTAAAATTGCAAAAATTGAAGATTTCTTTAATTTTGGTAAAATAAAAAAAATATTGTGCTAATTTGGTTAAAAGGAACATTTAATTTTGGTAATTATCAATTTAAAATTCTTAATTAGATTATATATTAAAAAAAATAAAGAAAAATTAATTTATAAAAATTAGATAAAGAATATAATTATTATTCAATTAAAATTGCAAAAATTGAAGATTTCTTTAATTTTGGTAATTTAATAAAGGGATATTTAGTTTTGATAAACAAATTGAAAAGAAAAAATTATTTTGCTAATTTGGTTAAAAGGAACATTTAATTTTGGCACTTATCAATTTAAAATTCTTAATTAGATTATATATAAAAAAATCTAAAGAAAAATGAAATTAGAAAAATTAGATAAAGAATATAAATATTGTTCAATTAAAATTGCAAAGATTGAAGATTTCTTTGATTTTGGTAATTTAATAAAAGGAATATTTAATTTTGGTAAAAAAATTAAAAGGAAAAAATTATTTTTCTACTTTGGTTAAAAGGAACATTTAATTTTGGTAAATATCAATTTCAAATTCTTAATTAGATTATATATAAAAAAAATTAAAGAAAATGAAATTATAAAAATTAGATAAAGAATATAAATATTATTCAATTAAATTTGAAAAAATTGAAGATTTCTTTAACTTTGGTTATTTAATAAAACGAATATTTAATTTTGGTAAAAAAAGAAAAAGAAAAGGAAAAAAATATTTTGCTAATTTGGTTAAAAGGAACATTTAATTTTGATAATTATCAATTTTAACTTCTTATTGGTTTATATATTAATATAAAAAATTTTAAAAAAATTAAAATTATAAACAACGTAAAAAAATTTAATTAAATAAATAACATAATTGTTATTAATCAAATTAAAATAAATTAATTATAAAGAAAATTAATTTTGTATATTTGGAAAAAAAAAAAATTTGTTAACAGTCTAACCCGACTATTGACAGTCTTCCTCTCCTCTCTTGGTCGGGAAACGTCATTTCCGATGAAGGAGAGTTCCACAAATTACACAAATTCACATTTACACTCAACCATGACCAACAATCTATCTACTCGAGCATATTTTCATCTAACTAAACCGTATAAACATAAAAAATAATTCAATTCGTCATAAACATCGAAAAATTAGAAATTCTTCACAAAAACTAATCAAAATAGTGTCGGCGGCTGTAGTAGATCGGTGGTGTCTGCTCGTCCTCGGAATCACTGTGGTATCGAACTGTTTTTCTTGCACATGTGCCGTCGGTTAGAAAGGATTCCAAAACAGTTTCTTTGCTTCAAGGGTTATATCGACTTTTTGTGTGCAAAGTTTTGTTTTAATTTTTTTTAATTTATTTTTATTGATTTAATAGGTCAAAGGCCGATGTTCAAATATTCTACAGTCACCGAGCCATTTCCCGGCATTTCCTCAAATCGAACTCACATTGTGGTTTACGTTTTCATCTAGGGGTAGGCCATGTTGAAGATATTTTTCTTGTGAACTAGCATATTATCAATGTTTTAAAAATTGGTAATTAGCACAAAAAATCTTTACCCGTTAATATTATTGTGTAAAATGTTTTTACCTCTTGTTTTTTGGTATTTTCACCCATCTTTTCATCTCTCTACCTTTCAATATTATTGTGCAAAACATCAATACCTTTCATTTTTTACATTTCACCCTATTTTCTCATTTCATTACGAAAATCTTTATTTTCATCAATTTTTTTCAATTAAAAGCCTGTGCTTACCCTGTCAAAACATAAACCTGTATTCTTAGTTTCTCACTACGTTGAGGATGAAACCCAAGTCAGAAAATCGATTTTGATTAAATTAGAGAATAATTTTAGGCGTTTTAATAATATGAATAAGAAATTTTTACTTCAAACCTACCTTACTAAATGAAAGAATTAGAAAAATAAAACGTTTATAAATTAACATAATAAACTATAGTAACGATTACATATCAAACCGGACATTAATCGAGCACTCTTGCGCCAAAGATGAACTAGGCTAAGCGATCTGCTGAAAGGTTTGAAAAAGTATCTTAGAGTGTCTAGGGTTTGGCCAGGACGGCCTCTTAAGGCCTTCTTTTTTCTTCTCGAAAAGGTCTTATCAATAAAATTTCCATTTATCCACGAGATTGGTCAATAAAAATCGATTTGAATGCCTTTTTTTTTTCCCGAGTTTATCCAATTTTATAATTGTTGAGCGAAACCATAGTGTGGCTGCACTTTATAAATAGGCCGTTGCTACTATTGTACATTGAGTGACACATGTATTATTGTCAAGTGTCAGTTGGATGAAAACTCGTTTGAAATTTAAATTGTTAAATAAGGTAATGTCACATGGAAAAATGCAAATCAAAGTGTACATCATAGTGTACATGTAGCAAGCTTCAAATAAATAACCCTAAAACAAACTAATCAAACTTTCACCATCTCTTTCTACAGAAGAAATTCCCACCGGTAATACTCTCTCCTTTCCTTCATTTATCTTTCTTTATTTGTATGTATGTTTATGTTATATATTTATGTATATGTTGCATAACGTACTCGCTCACAAACTCACACTTAAAATTTGTGCCTAAAGTAGATTTGATTTGATGTACCACAGTTTGATGTAATTCCCCAAAGAGGCTTCTCGCATAGAGCCATAGTCGTTGGCAGTTTATAGTACTGTGTATATCAATACATGTTACGGCCGCTTGGGCTAGAACTCAACCTTAAAATTGACAATCACAACAGCCTTTCCAGCTCGGTGACAGTGCGAAATCAGTCTTCTAGTGAACGTAGCCCTCCTCATGATCAAATATCCAAATGTCATATTATAGTACCCGATTTGATAGCGGTTGTTACAACCACGTTAAAAAGAAGTCGCCTTTATGACAATCCTGTAAAGGAACGGTGGTGTTGTGTTAAGTTGTCGGCCTAATTATTTTTGTTGTGCTGAACCAGTATGGGAATTGATATCATGAAATGGAGTGTCATTATGCTTTTGGATTATTATCATATAAGAGAAAAAGAGAGGTTCTGCAACGGTGGAAGATGACGTAATCTTACATTGAGACAAATCTTTATAAATCTTGCTTATATTTATTTCTTTCTGCAATTGATTGCTCTTGGTGGAATAGAATGAAAATTTCCAATTCACTACATTGTGCCCAACACTATGCCCAAGTGGTTATAAACCCACAAGTCAGTTTTTATTATCCATGTTTTAAACCTTTTTGACGGTGGTTTCTTCGTATTTGGGAAGCTGAATTTGATTTTAATTTGCTGTATTTTGACATTTGAAAGTAACAATGGGCGAGAAGAAGAAAGCTGGTGCAATGCTAGTGAGGCTTGTTTTGGCCACTGGCACGGGATTCTTCCATGTGGTAAAGAAGACCAAAAGGCTTCAAAACAGTCAAATAAAAGCCTCTTGTGAATCGTCATGTTTTGTCCACTGAGGCAAAGATGAAGTGAGTGATATTCTTGTCTTCCATTTCTTTTGACTCATGTATTGGCATTTTATTCGAATCTTTGTTTTAATAATGATAAACTTGATATCTTGGTACCTAAACGATTATATTGGGTTGTGCTTTTTGCTATATATTTACTTGTCGTTTGATATTTTTGCTTTTTCTAATACTTTAACTATGAAAGCCTCGAATGTAAATGCAAAGTTGAGATATAATATGATTTGCATAAGATCATTGGACCGATTAGTTGGATTAAGGAAAATTTATGGAAAGTTACAACTCCCATTCATTGACCTTGTGAAAGATTAAAATATAAACAAAAAATTACATTCTCTTTCTTTTAATTTTAGTACTTCAACACAACGAAAATACGATAGTCTTCCAACTCACATACAAGAGTATTATAAATGCTATTGGTAGTGAAGACGCCGATCTTAAGTAGATCGATCACTTCAAACTGCAACATCGA